CGAAAGATGGGAGAAAGTAGTGGCCAGCGATGGACAATACTTTGAATCATAAATGTATAACCAGTTTTTTACAATAAAGCCTCGAATTTCGGAAAAAAAACGGCGGAAGCAAAGTTGTACATCTAATAATAAAAATGTAAACACGATAAACCGCGAAAAAAATCTTCAATGCATTTTATTATGCTATTTTATCAAATAGCATAATAAAATGCATTGAAGATTTTTTTGAATAGCCTCGGATCATAATCATAACCGGACTGAGATTTTAATCCATAATGTAATTTCAGTCCGAATCTCTATTCTATATAAACGCATAATATTAAATATTATTTTAGACATATTTTAGAATGTTCAATGTAATGTTTTAATAATATTTTATTAAAATTTTATAATATTAAATAATATTCCTGAAATATTAATAAATGGTTATATATCCACTCTTGATAATATTATATGATTCTTAAAAAGGTAATTATTTAGAATACGAACTGTACTTCCGATTTTGATGAAATTAGGCTTATTCGACGCGTTTTTGCTCGAAATGAATCTGTAAAAAAAAATTAGGCCGGCCGCGCGAACCGAGATTAAGTGTTATACACGATCTATATCAATAAGTCTATAGGCGGAAGTCTAAGCCTTAAATTCAATGAAGTTGACCAATGAACGTTAGTCATATGTACAAGTAGCTATTGACTAACTTCATCAATTAAGGCTGTGATCAAAGTCTCGCTACAAAAGCTTTGAAACATTTGATGGATCAATTAGAAGAAAGAATTTTACAAACTGATCAATTAAAAAACGCTTCAAAGCGTTTGCAGCATCGCGTTGACCGCACTCCAAGTCTAAGACTTTTGACTACAGACTCATTCAACATTAAAGTTGATGATTATTGAGGTTAAAAAATTTGTCACAGGCAAAATTTGTAATTGTACTGTTCTACAGTTTCGACTACGGAAGGGATAATATGATGTATGCAGTTGGATGATATCTCTTTCTTCGATATCTCCCTCTATCTACAGGTCTGTTCTTTTTGATTGAACTTTTGCACTCTTTTCCTGGAGAGAAAAGGAAAAAAGATGAACTGGTGCAAAAGTTGCCAAAAAGAAACACAGGCCTTATGCCAATCCATGGATGTCGCGTGAGAGACAAAGGCTACTAACTATGAAACGTGAAACATATTTCGTGTCGAAAAGTTGGCATACTCAATCTTCCCTTGTCTGACATACTTTATAATGCATCTTAGTTTCTCTTTCTAATCTTCATAATTTCTGTCTTAAATTAAATATTGTGAATATAAAATTAAACGAATAATGACAGTACCAATATGGAAAAAGGATATCATCAGTGCAATAAATACTATATTAATTATTATTACGAAATTATTACATAATTAAAATTAATAAGATTGGAAATAAGAATATATATATATATATATTCATTTCGACTCTCGGCTGAGGTAATACTTTTGCAATAAGTTTATTACAGCTTTTTAAGATTAAATTTGAGAAATTTGGGGGGATTATTAATATTTCAGATTGATTGCGTTGAAAGTCAGACAATTATATCGGCATGCAATTATAATTTCTGAAATTAATTCATTTAAATGAATATATATAATAGTTCAACATCTTTACATTTAGACCGTAGTGACGCTTCGTATTTAAAGTAATAATTAAAATTATAGTACATAAGTATAATAACATAAATATAATTAAATATATTAGCATATGTATTTTGGTTAAAAATTAAGTACAGTTACATTAAAAATTAATTATGGCATGAAAAAATTTGTTATGCATGAATATATCGGGTGTTTCAGACTACCTGTATCACTCTTTTATCTTCGCAGAATAAGGTACAATCGAAAAAGTGTTCAGACAAAAGTTGTAGGGTTTTTAAAGACCTATTTACTAGCGCTATAAGTTTGATCTTGGATGGCGTCTAAGATCAAATCGATTTTTTTAAATGAAACACCCCATTTTTATTCATTGCATATTCATAGCACACCTCGAGAGCTTTCTAAAACACTACAATTAAGTTCATTTTTATTAAGTATTTTTTTAGTTATAAGGCTTGAAGGTTACAGTATCTCCAGCATTAGCATTGTCCAAAATGCCCAAACAAGTGACTAAAACCACTTTAATATTGTTCAGGATTATGATCTGGATAATATTTGTGAAATTCAAGGCCACTTGTTCCGCTTATTTTCATTTTTATGTAGAAATGAAAAATTGAGCGTTGAATTTGTGTATATTTACTTTTGTAATCATATATAGAGGTAGAGTAATACCTCTATATATTAGAAATTCGCTTAGCTAAGCGAGGAAAAACATGGCGTGAATAAGAAGTGCAATTCGGGTATCGTTCTCGCCATAATCTTTTCTCCAAATTGACCTCCACATTCATCTAAAATCAGCAGCATATCCAAAGCTTCTGCGTTAATAATATAATATGCGTCAATAAGAATTTATTCGCATCCGCGAATTGGTATCTAATGATTAGAAATTTGACTAAGAAAGAGAATTTTTTTCTTGTGTAGAAAACATTATCACTTTCACATTATCACTGTCACGTAACAAAATTTTTATTGATCAGCCATGTCGTATTCAAACGCAGAAGCTTTGGATATGATGTTGATTTTAGAACATGATCCTGAACAACATTCAAAAGGTTTTAATCGTCAGTCGGACACTTTGGATAATGCTAATGCCGGTGGTACTTTCAAGCCTTATACAATAACTCAAAAAGTACTTAATGAAAAAATATTTTATTATTAGTGTTTTGAAAACTCTTGAAAAAAGCTATAAAAATATGCAATAAAAAAAGGGAGACCCTATTTAAAAATTCAACTTGACCTTCATATGACCTTACAAACTCCATCCAAGATCAACCCCTTATCATCAATTAGATAGATTGTTTGAAGTCCAACAAT